TCTTTGTAAGAACTCTGTTCGGTTCTGTGCTCTGAATAGTAACACAGTGATAGCATCTTCTGATAAGACATCAGGGTTTTGCATTTTGATTTTTTTTTATAAAAGTGGGCATTTCATAGAGCTCACCGCTTTGGAAACCGACAGAAACAGGACCCACCCTTTACCAGCCCTCCATTTTCTTCATCTTGCTCTTGGTAAAGAGTCACAATTCACTTGAGAGTACTTTGCAATCTCTCTGAGCTTCTGGTTAAGATTTGGCTATAATTACACACTTTAGCATTGTATGCTCTCACATGATCTATGTAAATTACTGATTGTTTTATTTCTTTTATAACTATATTTTGTGTTAAAGTCTCTGGCTGTGTCCACAGACTCTCTCTTCTTTCTTTTCTTTTTTCTCTTTTTCTTTTTAGTCTGTCAGAGCCCAGCTGATTTACTTTGCTTGTGACCCAATAAATGTCATTTTTTATATTTTTGATCCACTCTGGTTTACTCTCAGGTTTCCAAGAAAAGAATCGGGTTAACATTCGCAACCAAACTCCCTCGAGGAGCCGAGCAAACCAGGAGGAGCCATCTTTTCTGCCCTTTGGTTGCACAATTGCTTCTTTGAACACATTTGTACAGAAACCTAATCTGGGATAATCAATGACCTGTTAGAATTTGGCTATTATGACTCCCTTTAGCATAGTTTGCTATAACATGATCTATGTCAATTACTGATTGTTTTATTTTCTTTTATAACTATATTTTGAGTTGAAGTCTCTGGCTGTGTCCACATACTCTCTTTTCTCTCTTTTTCTCTCTCTGTTGCATTAGATCCACCTTTAGGTCAACACACACACACACACACACCATTTGTTAGCACATTCCTGTCCTCTGCATGAATTAGGACCTGGCCTGTTCGTGCCCAGAGGTAACTGGCCAATAGGACTTGGTTGTGTCCAGTCCTCCTTTGAGGAGGCGGATGGAGCCCAGGAGATAATGCCCATCACCCAGATCTCAGGGCTCTAACCCACTGAGACCCAGAGAGAGGTTTTAGTCTGTTAGAGCCCAGCTCATACACTTAACTGTGTCCAATAAATGTCATTTTATACTTTTGATCCACTCTGGTTTATTCTCACGTTTCCAAGTAAAGAATCGGGTTAACAGACCCATTGTTTTCCTTTAAAAAATTGTCTCCAAAAGAACACAAATGACTCAAGTGTAAAGTCAGCCACAGAATTATTTCTCGAAGAATACTCCCAAGCTTCTCAAGGATAACGCGTCCATAAATCTATAAGACAACCTCCCTTTTAAGGATGTAATTAGGTTCACATCAAGAGCAGAAGTTAAATAAAGCAGGAGCTACTCCAGCAGAGGGGGACACATGGAGGCTCCATCATTCTGTTACTCAGGTGCCCAAAGATAATGAACTAAATTAACTTTTCCTTTAATCTCTGCCTTATCTCAAATTAAAGCAGGAAGGAAAGATTAGAAAGGG